ATGACACATGAATTGCCTTAAATTAGATTAGGGTGATCAGATTTTCAAAAATCTAAACTGGGACACACCTGGGTTGGGATGGTTGGTATATGTAAATATATAAAATTGTGAAAAGAGCGAGTAAGATTGTGGTTTCTCATGTTATAATCTGAGGAACTTCTGACGCTTCTTTTTTTTTTTTTTTTTTTTGCTTTTTTTTTTTTGCTTTATGGTCATTTGCAAACAGGTTTTTTTGTATTTTGGCAAAACAAATGACAATTTATGCTCCTCTTTACTGTTGGTAGAGAGATTAGTCAAAAATTCTGATAGTCCTGGTTTAGAGCTGATGTAGTCTATGTTACTCTTAATTTAGTCTGGTTTAGACCTGGTTTTGGTCAAATTGGTCAAAAATAGGGACACCTGGGACATTTCTTTTATAAAACTAGTTTTGTATAAATCTGCTGGGACAGGGGACACAAGCTCAAAACTGGAACTGTCCCAGGTGAATAGGGATGTCTGGACACCTAAAACATAAACCATTATTTATTTATTAGTGCACAAAGTTAGGCATCAAAATGATACATTTCCAATAGTAATGGGCATTTTATTAATCAAATCAATCAATCAATCAAATTGTAGTTATTAACGCAATACATATAATTCAGAAATCCCTTGGCAAGCTACTTGGAAGGGGGTGGAGAGTGACTGGTAACTCTCGAGCTACAGGTTGGAGACTCCTGCTCTAGGTACTAAATGTGCAAACAAAACAGTCTTTCAAAATGGCCTGTGTGAAATGGGACACAGTTATGCTGAAGCAGAGACGTTTGTCCTCCTGAAGGTGTCTCCAGGCTCCTGCTCAGCTCTGTGTGGATCACTTTGGTTGGAGAGGGAGTTTTTGGTTGTTTCTTTTTTACCAAAGAATTAGACCATCACATCCAGTGTTTTAGTACTGAATAATAAATCAGCATTACAGTTGTTAAAGTAAAAGTTATGTTTGATTTGAACATGTGTTTACCTTGAGTTTAATTTGGTATGTCATTGTCAATTCTTCTAATGTAATGCACTTTCCTGATCACACTGCTTGTTTTATTGTGTTTTGGTAACTGCAGGGATCACGTCACATCACAGGTTTGTGTCTGAGGCCTCCTTATGTCTCTGTGGTTGGATCACTCAGGAGCAGATCTTCATCCAGGATCTTGATAAGGAACATTTAGCAGGAGTTTGAGCCTGTTGAGAGTGTTTAAAGACACAGTTCATTTTCTTCAGGGTTGTTAGTTAAGATCAAATAAATTATTAAATTCCAATCAAATTAAAGGCGTCTTGTCGTCTCCGGGCGGGTGGAGAGTCTCAAGTCTGTCGGGGTCTTGTTCTGGAGTGAGGGGAGGATGGAGGGTGAGATTGACAGGTGGACAGGTGCGGCGTGGGCAGATTGACAGGTGGACAGGAGCAGCATGGGCAGTGATGCGGTCGCTGTATCGGACCGTTGTGGTGAAGAGGAGCTGAGTCTGGATTTAGCATCAGTCTCTGTTCCTCCCCTCACCTCTGGTCATGACCCGAAGGACCAGATCCACGATACAAGAGACAAAGATGAGTTTCCTCCGCAGGGCGTCCGGGCGTCTCCCTTAGAGACAGAGTGAGGAGCTCGGAGTAGAGCCGCTGCTCCTCCACGTGGAGAGGAGCGTCTGAGGGGAGGACGTCTGTTCTGACGTCTCCTGGACGTGTCCCTCAGGGTGTGTTCGTGTTCCACCTGGAGGAGGAGAAGACCCAGGACACACTGGAGGGACCATGTCTCTGGACTGGACTGGGAACACCTCAGGTCCCACTGGAGGAGCTGGAGGAAGTGTCTGGGGTGAAGGAAGTCTGAGAGTCCCTGCTTAGACTGATGCCCCCGTGAGCCGGCCCCCGATAAGTGGAAGAAAATGGATAGATAGCCGCTCTGCCGGCCTCCATGAGCTTCATTTGGAGCTGAGCTGTGGGTAACGTCACACTCAGAACACTTCTTCACACAGTGTGTGGTTCCAGGTTCTGGAGGAGCAGGTCCTGAGGTTTGTCCAACAGCAGCTGCAGAGGCTCCACAGGCTCCTGGCCTCAGATTACATATTATAAAATGTGTTTATTATTTTTGTTTGTTAGTTAGCTTACTAATTTAGTTTTGTTAATTTGTATAATATATTTTTGCTATGTTAATGTTATTCTTGCTAATTTCTTAGTTTAAATTGGTATTATTTACGTTAGCACCTCTTTTTTGTTTTTGGTTTAATTCGGGTCACCTAGGGGATAAAAGAGGGTGGTACACGTAGACCTGAGTGACCTGTGGGCCTGTGGTTTTTTACCAGTCACGAGGAGAAGCAGCAGGAGTCGCCTTAAACATGTTTTCCTTGTTGTTTGCCCAAACTGGAAAATAAATGTAACCCAGGTATTTTCTGTGCTGTCCCTCTCTACCTAATAATTTGGCCGCTGTCGTTCGCAACTATCGCGAGACGTTGCGCACATAACGCGAGACTAATTGCGCCAAGATCTTTAAATATGGCCGCGCGCGCGCTCCCATTCATTCGTGTGTTGTGTCGGTCCCGGGTGTGACTGAGCGGCTGCAGGTAGGCGATTATTGCTTTTAAAAACTCACTGTTTCGCTCAAAGTATATTAAAGTAACTTATATGCCATCAACTTCCCCAGATGCCTCTTACCTTCTCGACGAAGTGCTGTCGTGATCGTTTGAGCGTAAACTAAGTGGAACTGGTGAGTTGAGTTTGTTTGTTGCCTTGCGGAGCTAATGCTAAGCTAATGCTAATGCTAGCGCTCTGATTCAATACGGACCTGTGAGCTGGTGCCGGCGCTAGTCTCACTTGTTCGCATCTATTTATATGACTACTTTTCAATGAAATTTATTGACTGACGGTACTGATATTGACAACAAATAATGATTGATATATGACCCTGTTAAATTATTAATTTAAATAATTTAAAGTGACATATTTA